CCATGAAGAGGTAGTACTGCAATGGGTCAAGAGAGTGGCTACTGGAAGTCCCTATATCTGGCAACAGGAATCTGCACCATGCCACACAAGCAAGACAACCCAGTCATGGCAGTCAGACAATTTCTGCAAACATATCACCCCTTACTTCTGTCCACCTAACTCCACAGACTGCAATCTTTCTTGATTATTATGTGTGGAATGCAGTTGAGTGAGAGACTAACAAACTCTTTGAAACACCAAAGATGAACTGCAGACAAGGATTATGGTAGCATTCACCAACTTAAACAAGGAGACCATCCGAAAAGAGTTGCAGGAGATTCCAAAGTTGTCTGGAGGTTGTGGTTGAAGCCAATGCCAAGATATTTTTGTGTAATTTTGGTAAATATATCTGTTAAAATTAATTATTTTCATTTTTGCATAATTTAGATGACAATTTACTCATCGCATCCTGTAAATAAGGCTAAGAATAAAACAAACCTGTAAGGAAAACAAGCTTATGAGTAAATTAAACCTAGATAGTTTTTTTAATCAGTTCACCCCAAGCAAAGCAATAATGCCACTAAAAGACAAAGGGCTAGTTGGAGTAAAAGAGAATGAAAAAGCTTAAAAAGGAACCAGAAGCTCAATCTTAAACAGGAAACAAGAGATAAATTTCTACTGCTTTTCAAAAGAGCAGGAAGAGTGTGAACTGGGTGATAGGTGAGCCTATCTACTTCTATTGAGGAGAGAAAAAAGATAAATAATTACTAAATAAAATTTCAGAGTTAAGGCAGAGATGTTAGAAGTATACAGTTGAAGTAGACTTTAGAAGGAATGGAAAACCCAATCCTAAACAGGAAACAAGGGATAAATCTCTACTGCTTTTCAAAAGACCAGATATACCTATTTTTATAGGATTTTATACATTTATGTAAAATATCTGTATAAATAAGCCTGTAAGTATAATAAACCTATAATTAATATAAACCTACAAAAAAGCATCTGAATAAGATAAGCCCATAAAGAAGCCTTTAAATAAAATAATGATATAGATAAACAACCATACACAAAAAGAAAATAATAATTTCATAAAGAAATGAAAGAGATGAATATAAAAAAAACTTTGCTATATTCACTTATGACTATTTTGTTATGGCTTGTCTATTTTGGCTTTAATGAAATTTATTCTAAGATTTTCAATATTAATCTAGATATTTTACCAACTTCCAATTCCATTCACTTACCAACTGCCAGAACATTATCATTCACTACCTAACAGATATTTTTATATTTGATTATTGTGATATGATCTGATATCATAACTGAGATAGAATGATACATTTAAAATTTGTAGTCTCAGGTTTGGGTTTCTATTTATAATAAAGTTCAGTCAAATCTAAATTATTTGCAAAACTATCAATGGATTGCTACTCTTAAATCTTTATAAGCTGCTTTCTTATATTTCACTTTTGACATAATTTACAGTTTTGTGTATTTTTTTTTTGTCTTTTCTATTTTAACTTTGATGAAATTCATTTTAAGATTTGCAATATTAACCTAGATATTTTACCAACTTCCAATTCTCTTCACTTGTAATATCAACATTCGTGAACATATATATTTTTTATCTTTCTTTACAATAACAAGATCTTATAATTTCACCAGGATTGGGTAATCCAATTAAAACTCAAAACTTTGGAGAATGTTGCACAATTCTGTAGAGGAGATTTTGGTTCATACGTATGCCATTAGTTGTGTGGTTAGAATGTTAGTATTCAAACCATGAAGTAGATTCAAGTTCTTGTTCTAAATCTCAGGTGCTTTGATGTGGATCCAATTTAATAGTCTCTTTCAAAAGATCTTTCTTCAAAGTGGGTCAAAATCACCATTTTTAAACCTTTTAAATGACACCTGCCTTCATTATACCTGGATACACTATGCAAATGATATGCCTCTGCAGCAATACTTTCATTTTGGAATTCATAAAGCAAGCATTGTTGAATATGTTGCTTTGTAAAGTTCTAATCCTCCATGGAGTTAAACTCTGAAATGCACTATAAATAATACACTGTCAAATAGAAAAAATGATAAACTAATTCTAAATGCAGTTTTATACCATTCAACCTTGGTTCTGTTATGGTTTGTTGACTCATAAACCATCTATTTGCAGCAAATTATGTAATTTCTTTCAATGCTCTAATATTTTCTAAATATCAGAATCCTTACCAGAGGAGTAAAAATACTATTGAATATAAAGGTGATAGTGACTATTTCTATAATTATTGCAAAACCAAGTTTGAATTCTAGACAAGGATTTTAAGCTAACACTTTGTGAAAGGAATATATCCATTTCTTCCAATACACATTTCCCCTCTTAAAAGTTAATAACATGTCACATTGATAATAGTAATGGTGATATTAACTGTTTCCTTATAAGGAAACTTTCAGCATTCATTGACTGAACAGCTTGTACTACTTTCAGTTGAAATTTATAAAATACTAGACTACCCATGACCCGTTGGGTGACTGAAGCTTCGGGTTATAAAACATTGAAGTTGATTTCAACATTCCATTGAAATGAAAGTTAAATTTTATTATGATTCAGTTAAATATTTCAAATCATTCGTATCATCATTGTTCTGGTTTACAAGTTCATATTTAAGGTTTTACTGATCACTTACAACATTTAATAGAGACAGAACTTCCAGGATAAACTTGAACTTCAAATCAGATTAACTTAAAAGTGTTTTTATGCCAAAAAATATTTTTTAAGTATTTAAAAGATTGTTTAAAGAAAGCTGAAATATAAATAATTACTCTAAAAAACAACTGGATGAAACAGAAAAGCAGGATCGCTTTGTGTCTGTCTTTAAATCAAAAATATTTTAAGTAATAAATTGTCAGTTTGAAGAAAGTTAAAATAAAAATACCTACTGTATAAACAACTCATATTTTTAATTCTTATTCACTTAAATCAGATTAACTTAAATCATTATGCACTGGACGGATGCACTAACCAATCACGCACACAATCACAAACTTTTAGTATTATATAGATTTCTATTATAACAGTTTTTAAGGAAAATGTGTTTCTCAAGTCCACTAGCTGTTATTGCTCTTTCTTGTGCTGGTAGGGCTTCCCTCCTAAACTTTTGTCTGAAAGTTGTGGGAATGTCAATGTCTTCATTATGTCATTATCTTCTTCTTACATTATGTTAGTTGTTGCTTTAGTCCTCAAGTGATGCTGCCTTCATTAATTATCACAGATCTTTGTCTGTGATTTTGCAGGACCAGTGCACAAGGTATGAAGAAAAATAGTCCTTAGTAAGACCTAGAGAATTTACTTACTGGCTTACATAAACATTTTGATCGCAAGGAACTAATGCAACTACTTGTATACAGTAGCAGATAAATAGCTGTTATACACTTTATCAACCTTGACAGTCATATCTGGATAAAAATGAATATCAATTTTATGGAGAAGAGAGTTGTTGTATATTAAATTTATTGGCAAACGCTGCTTTGTTTTTAATATAAATTTCTTAAGAAAAGTTTTTCATATGCTGATTAATATGATTTCTCTTTTGGATTTTTATTCATCTGGCTTTTTTCAATAACAAAAGCTTCTTTATTAGTTGTTGATTATCATGACAAGAATTTTATGTCTATTTTATATGCAGCGTCACATTACATGTTAATCTCTTGAAGCATATCTACAAATTGGGACAAATGAATGACATCACATGTGACATGCAAAAATAGAAAAAAACTGAATTATGCAAAATGTTAAAAATAAATTTCAAACAAAAGTAAAACCAAAACAACAAAACACAGCATTGATAAAGCGAATATGAAATTAAGTTGAACTGAAATGTGTCTAAAGAAATTGTAATTTAAAAAGAGCTTGACATCAAGCTGACCCAACACTGATGTCCATGAAACTTATGGCCTCATCAAGAAGAAATGCTATTCATGTTCTCATTCTTCCACTTTTGATTATTATTTCTTTACAAATGGTAATAGTATTATTAGCCATTTCCCTATAAGGAAATATACCTGGTATTCATTGAATGAGCAGCAGTACTATGTTTGGTTGAAATTTATAAAAATTCTCTTAAAACAATTTTTTTAGGAAAATATTTTTCTCAAATCCAGTTATCACTCTTTCTTGTATTGACGAGAGTTTCCTTCCTAGCCTTTTGTTTGAAGTCATGTGGAATGTCAACATCTTGATTATGTCATTATTTTCTCTTTCAGTTACATGTGCTATCCATTTTAGTTGTTACTGCTATTGACCAAGTGATGTGGTTTCTATATTTGGTACAGTTTGTGTGTGTGTGTGTGTGAATCGGTAAAACCAATCACCAAGAGTCAAAGAAATATGGTCTTTGCTAAGATCAACTGGCTTCACTTGCTCAAAGACATTTTTAATCATAGATCTGGGAAAGTGTTTGTATTTAGTAGACAGTTTAGATAGTTCTTAAAGGGTTTGGCACCAAGCATGACATCCATATGAAAGAACATCACTTGAATTTTTCAGGTTAATGTTTTGGTTTTGTAGCAATTTACAGTGTTGCATGACACTGTCTCTAATGCAGCCTAATCTATGTTCAAATTTCTTATCTTCTCTCAGAAATTTGTTATAAATGATCCACACACCAAGATATTTGAAGTGTCTGGAATTTATTAAATCCAAATCCAGAAATTTTATGATGGATTCAGAGTACATGCCATCATACTTTCATTCTAATTATAGCATTCTAGTTTCTGTTTTGGAAAGATTCATCATGAGTTCTATTCCTTGGTTCTTGATTGATGGATTTGTTTTTAAAGATAACAATGATTTTTACTGGTACATGTTTTAATAATTAATCCATAGATGTGGGGAAAAGATGTGAATTCATGTCTTTCCCAAGGGTATATGCCCATAAGTGCATATAATGAACCTGAATGGAATTGGAATTCAGCTCTATGAATTGCAATTCTAAGCTGTTATACATTACACCACCGACACATCCAAGCTTACAGCACCTGGTATTCCTAAGTGGTTACCTATTTCAGCACTAACCGGGATCAGTGTTGCTTACCATCAGTAATCATACGGGAACAGGTGTTTCAACATGATATAGCTGTAAGTCCCTCGTCCTTGGAAAACTTAGTGTAGTGTGTGGATTTTCTGTCCAAGATCATTCTCATCTCCCAAATCAGAATATCTGTGTCATCAGCATAGTCACCTAACTCATTATCAATACATTGGCCTCAGGAGGAAAAGCAGGATCACTACCTTTTATTAGTAGATTCGTTTGGGATGTGGTATGGAGTGCTTAAAGGATCAGTGCACATCTCTTTATATCAGTGTTTGTAAATGTTCATATTAATCACTTTCAGTGGATTACAAGCCCAGATTAATGCATTAATCCCAAAACTTATCTAGAGTTCAGTCATTGAATCGATCTCAAAAACCATCTTAAAGTTTTTTTTTTTTTTTTCTGCTGATGACTGTACAAGTTTCAAGTAAATTTGGATATTTGCTGTGAATAATAGTCATGCAAGCTTGTTTCATGGTATCTCACTTTGAATAGGATAATCTCACAGGAAGTGGTATATTTGTTTTCTAGGAAACCAATAAAAATCAAATTATATTAATATATAAAGAATATTTTAAGAATTTTTTCTTTGTTTGTTATTTTTATTTATTACAATAAAAATATATTAAAAATAAAAAAAAAAAAACATTTGGACCACAAATGACTGATGCAATACTTCTATGAGGAAATTTTGGAGAGAGATGATTTGTTGCCAGAGACTTCATACAAAACCATTATCAACATCAGCCCACCCCCTCATAACAATGTACAATGGTCCAATCTGAGTGATTGTCAGTTGACATCAAAGCAAAATGATTGATTCTTATATATTCAGAATGTTCTATGACATACCTTCTATATCATTTTTATCAGTAGCAACTTAGGGCCACATCACATTGAAAAAATGGTTCCTCTATGACCACCAAAGTTAAGCATCATCAAGCTTGTTCAGTACTTAGATGAGTGACCATTTGGAAATACTAGGAGCTGTAAGATTGTATACACAGGTGATATAATGGATAATGGCTTGGAATTTTTAATCAGAGAGCCAAATTCTAATTCCATTTGGGTTTGATATATTCACTTACATGCATATAGTCTTGGGAAAGGTCTGAATCTATCTCTTCTCCACTATGGGTTAATTAGTAAGATTTGTATCACTAAACCGTTATTATTTCCACACAAAAATTCTTATAATGTAAAAATATTTTCTGGCTTTAAATAACCTGCAATGAGTTGAGATGCGAAAAAAATGAATCAATCACAGAAAAAGTAACATGTAGTCACTGTTTGTTGGAAAAATGATTTTCCCAATTCGTTAATGATGTTCATGACTTTCCTCTGTCATTATCTTATCAAGAAACTTCATTTCTCCATCTTTTGTCTGTTGCTTTCCGACTGTATTGGTCAACAAATAATCAACATTTTGCTTCACCTTTTATTCTTTCTCAACTCCTGCCATGATGAGTCATTGTTGTCATCATTAGCTTGTGGACTTATTAATGAACCCTTATATATAGGCAAAAAACTATATGATATCAAGGATCAAATTGTGAGAAGAAGGCAGTGCCAGTGAGGCTGGCATAACCAAAAGGTGGACCTTGACAGACCAAGCATCCGATAGCCTGATGCAACCAGGTTAACCAGATCTCACCTATCACAAGCCTTCTGAGCCACAATGAAGGAACTTTTGGCCAAATGTGTGGGCTTCTCCATTGTGCAGAGTTGTCCAACAAAATTAGATTCACGCCTTGTCAAACTCTGTTTGACTATGCTTCAGGAGTAGGCTGAACCTTCATAACCATCTCCCCCACCACCACCAGAGGGGAGAAAAGAAATAAGAAGAGAGGATGACAATGCTGGCACTATATATAAATAAATAAGTAAATATATATATATATATATATATATATATATATAAAATATGTTAGCTCTATCTCTGATATTGAGCGCTTTCTAATAAGTACCGCGCATATAATATATAAATAATTATACATATATATATTTATTTATATTTATATACACTTTTCACATATATATATATATATAGTAATAATACAATATGGTAATCCATATGGATGGAATTTCCAAGAGGATATAGATCAAGTGAGAGTTCTATAGCAAGAGACAGAGCAAAATTATTATTAATTAAAGAATATCAAACACTTAAAAATGTTTGATATTCTTTTATATATATATATATATATATATATATATATATATATATATATAAATCAACATTCTCATCTGCCATTGCTAGTCTACTAAAAGAAAAATTCTTTTTTATATACTTCCATTATGCCCATCACTGTGCTGATGTCTACCATGCCTTACCTTTTCTTCTCCTTCATTTGCTATCTATTGGAAAAAAATGAACCAACCCTTTGCTCCATCTGTTATCTTTTCTTTTTTTGTATGTGTCTTATCCGGATATATTTTTGTCACTTCTGTAAAACTCTTCTAGAATCCATTCTGACATCTTTCAATCTTTTTTCCTTAGCAGCACTCTTTCCATTAATCTCTAGATATTTCAAAGTTGGTTTTCATATAATTTTCTTAATTTCAGTATTTTCTGTCTGTACATCATAGTTGATATTATACATGTATTATGAAGTTTTGTATCATAAGCATACTGGCACATTGCTCTTAATTATATATGTGTTGTTAGGAAACGCATTCCAACCATTCAAAATACATCATTTTATTTCATTTTCATGGTCTTTCTTTAATGTTGTCATCTACCCTAAAAAGATGTAAGCTGAAGCATGAAGCGCAATCCAGAATATCAGCGGAAATGTGTTCAAAGCTAACAGCTACTTAAAGGAAGTTACTGGAGACCGTCATTGTAAACAAAAGGCTACATAGCACAAAGTATTAGGCTCTGCTTTTGCTTTGTGTAGGGCACTGAATACATTTTTGCTTCATCTCTTAAATATATCTTTTATAACTTTATATAAATGTACTTGTTGAAAATTTTGTTCACATGTTACCATTGTAAAGATGAAACCTATATTCAGTGGAATTTCCAGGTAAGTATTTACAATATGCATAGATAAATAATTATATAATAACTGGTTTTGTGCTGTGTATTATTGAATGCTTATTTATTATTATTTACTGGGTAAATAGCTATGCCTATATATATATATATATATATATATATATATATATATATATATATATATATATATAATATATATATGATAATGTGGGGAAATTTACTTGTGACATATTTCATCCTCCAGGACTTCATCAGACTAAATTTGTTATTTTGCTAAGACTACATATACACATGACAGAGGTGTGCTGGGAATTTTAGAATTTTTATTTTATCTACCCAAATTCATTTAGAGTTTTTTCCTTTTTCTTTCCATCACTTTTTTAAGTAGGTATTCCATGCTCTGATATTAGAACTAACAGGAATGATGAAATGTTGTAAGAGCCAGTGTGCAAATTTACTGTACATGACCTTGCAATTAAAGCACTTTTTAAACATACATTTGTCATACAATTTCTCCAATATAGTTCTTGATATATAAAAATATATATTATTATCTCATACCACTGACATTAAAAAACACCAGACTATTAAATATTATAAAAAAAAACACTTAACATTGGCCAACTCATTTAGAAAACGAAAAAATTTCTTACTGAAATGCATTGATGAAAATGTCATCTAACAATGCAAACACGAAATATTTAGAACATCACAGACATTTTTCCAACATATGCATGTGATTTTCTAAAAGCATCAGCTGAAGAACTAAAAGTGTTGTAAAAACTAACTACTAAAAAGTCAGAACTTCTGGGATGCAACTCCACAAAAAGTATGTTGTTATAAAGCCAGAAATGACTCAACTACACCAAACTATTAAACAAATGAGTGACAATCAAAATAAAAAAACTGGGTCAAAAACTCAACAACCTACACAATGATAGCAAGTGTAAATATGTTGGAATGCCTAATCTAATTGCCATTGGCTTCAGTGACAGCCTCCAGACAACTTTAGAATCTCCTGCAACTCTTCTGGATGGTCTCCTTGTTTAAGTTAGTGAATGCTGCCATAATCCTTGCCTTCAGTTCATCTTTGGTGTTAACAGTATTTTAATGTAAACATTGTGCAGTGCCTACAAAATAAGATTATTTCATTTCATTGATTTAATAAATCATTATTTTTAGAAATATATAATTTTTTCATGTAGGCAGATGACATGGGTCATTTAATGACCTACAAATTTTCATTTTTTAAATAATTTCCATTTTACTGTGGGGGTTTTATTGATTTCTTTTAAATACCAAAAATATTTACAGAGGGATGTTTGGTTACAATACTCATTGTTGTTAAAGGAAGAAATATGTTGGTACCATCTTAATTTAAAAGGGTTTTTGTGCTTCCAGTATAAAATTTCTTAACATCTGGGTCTTCATTAGATGAAATAGTACATTGGTAAACTAGATTCAGTAAGACATTTGCAATGGACAATTTATGGGATTTCTACAGTTAATAGTTTATTATCAATATTATTTATTTTTGTTCTGAATCACTATTATTTTTATTTAGGTTCAAGAGTCTATTCAAAATTTTACATATATATATATATGATTTAATCATACTTGAGGCCCCTTTAAGACAGTCCTAAAGTATATATAAACAATTTTAAAAAAACAACGATTAACTCATTGGTGGATACATATACCTCTCTGTTTTATATCATTGTATCTTATGAATATAACCGGAAGCAGTGGTGATACATCTATACATGACAGCTCATCTAGACAAGTATGAATAACATACACACACCTAACCTCTAACCTACATTTTTTTCATTTTTCTTCTTTATCTTACATCTCTTTTGATTCGTCAAATACATACACACCCATAAAATTTTGAAATCTGTTGCCCACTTCTACTTAAACTCTTCAATATAATACCACCCCACTTTAATAAGTAAATCATTTTCTTCAATGATTACTCAATATCACTTTGATAATGGAAAAATTTAAGGTTCCGAAACATAGAAATTTCCGTGTCATGATGAAA